TTAAGTTGCTGGGGTATATTTGTAGCAATAGCCAAAAATACATTGTATGGGTCAAAATTATAGATTTTTCTTTTATGCCAAAAATCATTAGGATATTAAGTAAAGATCATGTTCCATGAAGATATTTTGTAAATTTCCTACCGTAAATATATCAAAACTTCATTTTTGATTAGTAATATGCATTGTTAAGGACTTCATTTTGACAACTTTAAAGGTGATTTTCTCCAGTATTTTGATTTTTTTGCACCCTCAGATTGCAGATTTTCAAATAGTTGTATCTCAGCCTAATATTGTCCTATCCTAACAAACCATACATCAACGGAAAGCTTATTTATTCAGCTTTCAGATGATGTATAAATCTCAATTTCGAAAAATTGACCCTTATGACTGGTTTTGTGGTCCAGGATCACATATAAGTAAATGTATAATTAAATGTGTGTGTGTGTTTATATATTTAATATTATACATATATTTAATTGCATATAGTTAATATATATTAATATTTATATATATATAGAATGTATGATTACTATTAATACTGTATGTATTTATTTATGTAACTGATTCGCTGAAATCAAAACAGGGACGATAATAGGTGAGCGCCAGCCAATGAGATTGCCGTTTGCGCATTAGTTCCGCCCACCACCGGAAAACCCGGCAGTTCTTAAAAGCTGAACAAATCCAAAGGAACTCCGTTATTTTGACAGGAAAATACAACAAAGAATATTGTTTACATGTAGCGTGTCAATTCTGCATGTATGTAAGACTCTCTCGCTCTCTTTGCACTCACCAAAGCGACGGCGGGTCGTGCGCCGTTACACGAGAGTTCACGGTACGTCAAACACAGGTGCGCTGCGCATCAATTGAGATGAACTGAAAAACAGCACAGATCGCTTGACGGAGAATGAAAAAACTGATAAAATATGAAGCTTGTATGTAATGCTAGTCACTGTGGATAAAAGCATCTGATGAATGAATAATTTATTCTGAATTTCCTGCCCACAGGCTGATAGAGTTTCATATGGCCTCATAAGTGTTAATTCAGTTTTTACTTCATGTATTTTGGCTTGTGCCTCTAGTGTAAAGATATAAGAGATTTATTTTTTTTATTTATCTAAGTTATTTTATATATATATATATATATATATATATATATAAAATAAAATGTATACTTTCCAGCAATTTATAATTGACCAAAAAATAAAATAATATACATTCAAATAGCAGCTGTTCTTTTGAACTTTCTTTCATCAAAGAAAGAAAAAAAATTCACAGTTCCTCCAAAAATATTAAGCAGCACAACTGACACTTCTTTCAAAAAATTTTTTTACCTCTAATATTTATACTCTGGATGCTTTATATAGTAAACAACCATGCAGTAATATATTTTTGGTTAATTCAATGGTCTATTAAAAACTTTACAAGTAAACAAAGTATTTGTTTTCTCTTTTTCTTTAGAAGTAAATGGTGTCTCAGATAAATAGTGTCTCAGTGTACACGTACTAATCTAAAACATCTGTTAAGGATCCAAAAACCAACAGCTGGTCTCTTTAATTTCTTGACCCCTACTCAGGTCATAGGAACACAAGAGGCATGTCAATCTCGCTATCTGGCAGACTATGCTGTGTTTGTTCAGCTGAACTATAAATCCACAGGTATAATTTGTATCTGTGAGGGAACAAGCATATCATCATGGACAGTTTCCAGGCCAAATTCATTAATCCTTCTCAGATACTCACTCTTTTTCATCCATCCGGAGACTAATGTTACCTTGAGGGAGGAACAGCGGTGCAGTGTGCTTTCCAATTGGTCCAGGATGAAACTGCTTGGTGGTTAGGGGAGGAGTTTCGTTTAGACTCAGCACAGGGAGGGGGGCCCGCAAGAGCCCTTGCTGGTTCTTCAGACAAGCTGATTGCATCAATAAATTGAGCCACCAGCGAGAGAGGGACAGTGTTAATATTCAGATCACGGGACAGTGGCAGGAGCAGAAAGAGCCCTTTCATAATGGCAGTCCTGCTCCAGACTAGCAAAGATGAGAGACGGAGAAATAGAGAGAGAGGATTAGAAAGATAGCAGATATGATATTATACTTCAGCTCAAGACCTGTTTGATTGTTTCAGCCTCTCTGTTCAAAAGCAGTTGTGCTAATTGCATTTCACATGCTGGGTTTAGTGTAAAACTCCAGGGATTCTTATTAGATTGTTACCTGTTCTCACGTCACACACAATTTAGAAGTTATATCATTTCTTGAAAACCTGATGTGCTTCTGCAGACCTGCAGTGGTGTTTGTTAAGGCAAGCAGCACATACTGTTGCTCAAGTGTAGGGTTATTAATAAAACATATATGTAAAACAAATCAACACTGTTAAATTTAATCTTTAGCAAATAACAAAAATGCATACATTTCATACTGTACAGTTATAATATTGTGATGCTATATTCACTTGTAGCATTTTTTTATATTTTCCAAAAATAAATGTTAAATATTTAAAATATATATTTTTAAATAAAATTAAGTTTTAAATAAAATTAAATAAAAAGTTAAAAAATATATCTTTTTATCTCTACAAAACTATATAGAATTTTAATGTCAACCATTTATCACTTTTCAAAGGAATAAAAATCCCACTTTAGCACTGCAGCGGCTGGTTTTGCATGGATAAGCACCACTTGCTTTAGTTTCTTCTCATTCTTAACCTACTATTGATGCCACTGTGCATGTGCCGTGAAAGTCTCCAGCCCTGAAGGATTACCCAGTATGTGGCCTTTAATCATTCCTGTGTCTCTTTCGAAGGATTACCTGCTTTGGTGGTCGCTATCTCAATGGGATTCACAAAAGCAAAAGGATACGGGACACCTCAGTAGTAAGACAACCTGTTTTTTCTTCGTTGTTCCTCATGTTTACTCAGAAAACTTAAGAGACCCCACATGAAGATCTTTTCAATTAAAACAGTTGCATGAAGTTATGAGTCAGAGCCTAGAGATTGCAACAGTCCCACCTAGTTCTCCCGAGGATACCTGGATATAAACAGTGTTTTAAGATCTCTTTAGAGTTCTTGTTCCATACTAAAAGTCTCTCATGTAGAACCATGGCATATGGCTCCAGATCCCCAGACACTCAAGGACGATACGACTGTGTACTGCCATGCCCCATTAAGTTGATGCCGGATGTTACATTTTATGCAAGATTTGCTGATATTTGGGTTTTTTGTGTTTGCAGCTGTTGGCTATCTCTGGAAGGTGGTCTTCTCTATGCATTTGTGGGACCTGCCGCTGCAGTTGTGCTGGTAATTTTACACTTTGTTTATTTACAGTCATTTACCAGTCTAAACTACACACCAGTGCCTTTATAATATTTTATGTCATTTACTGGACTAGTCTGCTGTGCCAACATTGAAATAGAAAATTGCCTCACTCCATCGTGGTGCGGTTTGAAGATTGTGACCCCAGTCATTTATATGCATCATTAAGCAGTTTGTCTCTAGACTGAATTAAGATGTAATGGTGGCACAGATGCACACTACCATGCATCTACACAATACAAAACAGTACATTTAGATCTATATGGCTGCATTTTTAAAGTCTAGCTTGAAGGTAGTTGTCAAATTCTCAAGTGCATTGGAAAGCACTTTCATTTTTTTATGTTCAAAGAAGCTTTTACTTTTAGTCATTACTGTGGACAGTGCTTGAGCTGTATTGTTAATTTACTGCAGTTTGATGAGATCAGGCCCTGACTGTGTTACTGTGTGTGTATGTGGTTACAGGTTAACATGGTGATTGGTATTCTAGTGTTTAATAAACTGGTTTCGAGAGATGGGATCCTGGATAAGAAACTAAAACACAGAGCAGGGTAAGTGCCAATTAGCTACATCACACAAACACATCGATATGAAAAATGTCAAACTCACAAGTTCTGTTCTTAAATCTATATCTTGGGTTCACAAGATGCTTTGGTGTCCTGACAATTTACTAAATATGTTCTGCTAGTTCTGTTATCTACTGCCTCTGGTATCATTTGCTGTCAAGAAGGAAACCTGTTTCTTAGAAATTAGAAGTTAGTTGGCTGATACTTTCATTCTAAAATATCTTTTAGCAAATCAGATGGTAATGTGTCTTGTTGACAATTTTTGCTGATTTCTGTCATCCTGTCAGTTAGCAAGATAGCTAAGGTAAAGAAATTGCGTGATGAAAAGAAGAAACCTAAACTACCATTCAAAAGTTTGGGATCTTGGGATTTTTGGAATACTTTTAAATTAATACTTTTATTCAGCAAGGATGCATTAAATGTATCAAAATTGACCGCAAATACATTTATAATTTTACAAAAAGATTTCTGTTTTAAATAAATGCTGTTCTGTTGTACTTTCTATTCATCAAAGAATCCTGAAAAAAATCACACTTTAAGCCGCACAACTGTTTTCAACTGCAATAAGAAAAGTTTCTTGAGTCACTGAAAATTCAAATTTCCCATTCCAATAATAAATTACATTTTACAATATGTGACCCTGGACCACAAAACCAGTCTTATGTCGCTACGGTATATTTTTAGCAATAGCCAAATAAACATTGTATGGGTCAAAATTATAGATTTTTCTTTAATGCGAAAAATCATTAGGATATTAATTAAAGATCATGCTCCATGAAGATATTTTGTAAATGTCCTACCGTAAATATGTCAAAACTTAATTATTGATTAGCAATATGCATTGCTAAGAACTTCATTTGGACAACTTTAAAGCCGATTTTCTCAATATTTAGATTCAGATTCCAGATATTCAAATAGTTGTATCAAATATTGTCCTATCTTAACAAACCATACATCAATGGAAAGCTTATTTATTCAGCTTTCAGATGATGTCAAGTCATCGGTAAATGATGTATAAATCTCAATTTCAAAAAATTGACCCTTATGACTGGTTTTGTGGTCCAGGGTCACATATATTGAAATAGAAACATTGTTATATATTTCTCATATATCACAGTGAATAATATTTCACTTTTTTGATCAAATAAATTCAGCCTTGGTGAGCACAAGAGACTCTTTTCGAAAACATTTAAAAACTTTACCGATCCCACACTTTTGAACTATTTAAAAAAATATCTATGCTGAATACTATCACACAAAAATTCAAGATGTTTTACTAATAAAAACCTGTTCACCATAACCTAATAAAACTTTGCCCAATATTTGTGTGTGCTACATTTGTTTTATGCTTATTAGAGTATTGTGTTGTTTTCCTAGCATCATCCTTAACAACAAACTGTATCAACTGTGAGATTCACACTAAACTGCTTTAAAAGATCGTTGCCTATGTTGACAGTAGGCTGTGGACTTCATTAGGTTTGGGAACAGAGCTAAAGTTTCATCTGAGTATGACAAAACTGCAGAAACAAGTAGCCTTGCCTCAAATTTACACCATTAGTTGAGCCAATAGAGATATTTCCAGCCCAGTCCGGCTGCCCAAACAAACCGATTACAATTCTGGTGCTACTAAAGGTGCAGAAATGACACGCTTCATCTTTGATGAAGTCCACAAAGGGCCTTATCTCCCAGAGAAACATCCACCACCTCTGCTTTGGTACAATCAGACCACCATGTAAATACATTCCCTTTGTGTTGTCTGGTTATTTGGCTGTTCTGCAGGCAGATGAGCGAGCCCCATACAGGATTAACTTTAAAATGTGCCAAATGTGGCGTCGTCTCAACTACTGCTTTATCAGCAACAACGGCCAGCAACGCCATGTAAGTGCCCACCTATGCCTCAGCAGATCGATTATGCTGATTAAGCTGCATGCAAGAGTGTGCGTGTGACTTTATGCGTGTGTGTCCTTCCCCTTGCCTCGGGAAAGGAGATTTGTGGAGGTGTTAAATGAACAGCTGGCTCTTGTTCTTTGTCTGTGATATGTCGACACACTCTATTAGAACAATGCATTGGTTGTTGTGTGCTCCTGGACTCATTTATGTGCTGATGGCAATTTAGGACAATTTGGGCATGTGCATGCTTTCATCTGGAATGAAACTGGCAAACAAATGACATCTATCTCCTCTTCATCATATCTGTTCTACAGAGCTCAACAGTAGACTTCTGTAAAGTAAAAATCAGAAAGCCATACAGAAAGTGATATTTTACAATAGCATAAAAACCTTTCTTGAAGATGAGATCTGAAGTTAAGCAATGCCGCAATTTATTTTGTTTTTAACATATAAGCATTGTAGCCTCCCTAATATCTCAAACTAGCATCTAAAATATTCACATAGTATGTTTAAATATTATTATTATTGCCATAAAATAATAATAAACATATTTTCAGTATTCAGTGACTAGTATATTTGATTATTTATTTATTTTACTATTGAAAAAATGTAGTAGAACTAGTATTAATAACAATAATACACATTTTAATTATAATTGCAATAAAATATAATATTAATAATAAATAATAAAGATATTTTATACCTGTAGTAGTAGTAATAATAATAAACATCTTAATTATTAAAGTTGCAATCAAATGTAATAATATTAATAATAAATAATAAACATTATATTTTATACCTGTAGTCAATGATAGATTTTTGGTTGATTATTGATTTTATTTTTAGTGTTATTGTTGAAATAATAATCTCAGAATAATAATAAACACTGTATTTTATACTTGTAGTCAAAGACTAGTCTATTTGATTATTTTATATATTTTATTATTGCAAAAAATATAGTAGTAGTAGTAAAAATAATAATACATGTTGTATTTTATACCTGTAGTCAATAACTAATATATTTGAATATTTTGTTTATTTAATTTTTTGCAATTGTATATAGTAGTAATAATAATAACAACAACAAACAAACAACCATATTGTTTTTTTTATAATTGTTGTCAATGACTAGTCAGGAGTCATTCATAATGATTTATGGAATGAGTAATTAATTCCCTCATAAGCTAATTTAATTGTCTTTTGTCTTTTTCAGATTTTCATTTGCTTTCTTGTTTTTCAAATCAAAGACTGTAATGTTATGACTCAGAGCTAGTTGGTTTGTTCAAGGCTTAGAGCTTTTTATTAAAGCGTGTGTTTTTTTTAAATGTCTATGGAGAAAATGAATGGGTAAAAATACTTTTGGGACCAAGAACAAAAATCCATCTCTTTTGTTGTTCAGTCCACCATCTCTCTCTTTCGGTCTCAGGGCCTCCCTGTGGAGTTCCTGTGTTGTCCTTCCTCTATTAGCTCTCACCTGGATGTCTGCGGTGCTGGCCATGACGGACAAACGCTCAATTTTATTCCAGATCCTCTTCGCAGTCTTCGACTCCCTGCAAGGCTTTGTTATAGTCATGGTCCACTGTATCCTCAGAAGAGAGGTAGGGCTGGAACCATTATAATCCCTTACTTTTCTTCTCTTTTCCTTCAGCTTTTCAGCAGACTGTCTTTAATTTCTTCAGAGGCTCAGTTTATTTTACTCCTTGTCCAGTTTTACTTAAATAAAGGGATAAATATGAATATTCTGTCATCACTTCCTCACCATCATGCTTTTCCAAATGACTTTCCTGCTTCTGTGAAACACAAAAGAAGGTATTTTTAACTATACATTTAAAGAAAACCACTTTCAGAAGAGCCGAACGAGCCAAACTCACCCTTAACATCTGCCTGACTGATCCCCAAATGAATCCCTCTTGATCTCTGATGATCCCTCTTCCTCTAAAATAAGTTTTCTATTGGACTGACATTAGCAAGCCCTCTTATTTTTTTTAAAATCTGTCATTTAGAGATCACATCCACTGGTACCCATTCTGGTACACTCTTAAAAATAAAGGTGCTTCACGATGCCATAGAAGAACCTTTTTGTCTAAATGGTTCCATAAAGAACCATTAACATCTGAAGAGCCTTTCTGTTTCACAAAAGGTTCTTTGTGGCAAAAGAAGGTTCTTCAGATTATAAAAAGGTAAGAAAGAGATGGTTCTTTAAAGAACCTTTTACTGAATCGTTCTTTGTGGAACCAAAAATGGTTCTTCTATGGCATCGCTGTGAAGAACCTTTTGAAGCACCGTTATTTTTAAGAGTGTACGTAACAGCCACTTTCCAAGACCAATTAAATCCTGATGAATAAAGTCAAATCCCTACATGTTTTTTCCTAGTTTGACATCTTGCTTCACAGAAGTGGGTTGCGAATGTTGCCTTTAAATAGTTGGATGTCCTTCTTTTACCCCCTACAGTAAACAATCTGGCAATTTCAATGAGCATGAAGGATAAAAGGCATTTGTTGCTACATTTGTTTATTTGGCAGGCTTATTCATTTTATACACTTTTTTTGGAAAGAGGTTTACTGAATACTTTATTCAGCAAAGATGCATTAAATTGATCAAAAGTGACAGTGAAGACATTTATAATGTTAAAAAGTATTTCTACTTCAAATAAATGCTGTTCTTTTGAAATTTCTATTCATCAAAGAATCCTCCAAAAAATGTATGCACGGTTTTCACAAAAATATTAGGCAGCATAACATTGACAGTATTCAACATTGACAGCAATCAGAAATGTTTCTGATTGCTGCAGCAAATCAGCACAATAGAACGCAGCAAATCAGCACATTAGAACGACTTCTGCAGGATCATGTGACACTGAAGACTGGAGAAATGATGCTGAAAATTCAGCTTTGCCATCACAAAAATAATTTGCATTTAAAATATATTAAGAATACAAAAGTCATTTTTAATTCTACAAAATATTCCTGTTTTTACTGTATTTTTGATCCAAAAAACCCAGTCCGACCCCAAACTTTCAAATTCTGAAGCAATGTGCGCTATTGAAGTGTTTTTTTCAATAGCATATGTTAGTGCTGCTGAGTGACTAAAATTATGGTTCACAGGTTCAGGATGCCTTCAGATGTCGCCTGAGAAACTGTCAAGACCCCATCAGTGCAGACGCGACTGGTACATTTCCCAACGGGCATGCACAGATCATGGTAAGACACTCGCCTCCTGGGACTTCAGTGTTCTTACACTGTACAGTCACAAACTCAGCTGGAATATTCTCTTCTTGTAAATTAGCTGAGAAATCATTTGCATCTGGCATCTGTGCTATCAGAAGCATCTCTCACAGTCCTCTTGATTTATATGAAATGCTTTTCTCTAGTATGAGTCTTTGTTATACAGTGTTATTGCTTATACAGTTATGACAGGATATGGAGATCTGTCTCTGCTTAATTAATACCAGCAAATCTTTCATTCATGTCCTTTGGCTTTCCTTTGGCCTTCGCCTTTCTCAGATGGGACACATTTGTCGTATTTCACACCGGTCTCTCTCATCCTTCACTGGCTTGAGGGAGTAATTGCTGTTAAAATGGTTCCGGAGATGTGTGACCCGCGCAGAACCACTGGCACATAATGATCACAGTTCTCATTTGTGATTTGATTTAAGGTTTCTTTACTAGAAGCATTTCACTATAATGAGGCCTCCAATGTGCAGACTTGTCTTTGATTTGACGCGGTTGATGGCTCCTCTATTGTCATACCTGAATAATCCGATTCTATTTATAAGCGGTTTCAACAGATGACTGTTTTCTCTGTGGGACGTGGTTAGACTGCAGACACAAGCCAGCAAAAGCATACAATTTGAGAATCCCATGGCGGCATAGATATGTTAGACTGCATTATATAATTGATGTATTATTCTGATTTCACATAGTCGATTAGACTATGTTTTTTTTTTTTTTGCATGTCTGCAACTGTCAAAGTTAAATAAAGCTTCAGCTTTTATGTTTTAGTTCTGTCTAAATTGAACTCCTCTTGCATGTCTAAATTTCACTTTCTTTCTTCTTTTTCCACAGACTGATTTTGAGAAAGACGTGGACATCGCATGTCGATCAGGTAAGAAACAGATGGTGCACTATTAATGTGTTTCCTAATTACTTCTCCTCTCCTGCGCCAAAAGGGCCCAAGAGAATAAACATTCGGGTTGCACATTAGAATCACGGAGTCCCAGTGGCACCAGGCTAATCATCCAGCGGGATAGATACTAATACATACAACATCTTTGTTGAAATTTAGGTTCACAGATTATTAAATTCATAGACTTTATATATTACTTTCATTGCATTAATACTATATCAACCTAATTAAAATAGCCTATATTTAATGCTGTTAAATTTATTAAGCACACTTAACTGGCAATTTCAGTTCGGACCAGTCTTTAAATATTCAAGAAGTAAAACGCGTCTCTGAAGTGCAAAAAAAGGTTTATGTTTAAAAAAAAAAAAAAAAAAAAAAAA